TACTGCAGGGTCTCCTGTGCTATATCAAAAAATAATGGGAGTCTTCCCAGTTGTAATGAGATAAACCTATTCAATTTGCAGAAATTGGGAAACTTCTAGTATTTCTGAAATTATGAAATATTCTGTTAGAAAATATTTGGAATAATTTGTTCAGCTCTTCTGACATATTTGGAATCCAAGGCATTAAGATTACTTACAAATGCCATTTCTACTTTTCACTAGCATGTCATTAACAGTTTTAAGAAGCACGCAGGAATAGCTTTGTTGGGGCGTGTGGTGGGGAAGAAAAGAGCACTGTGTCTTTATGACCTGCTGAGTGTTGGAATAACATCCCTTCCATCCTTTATGTAATCTTTATGTAACTTCTAGTTTCCTTTCTTTACCACTTTGCAGTTCTCTGGGCATCCCTAGAATGTACCAGTTATAGGGCCAGTAATTTATGGAGGCATAGGAGTCCAGGGACTTGATCAAGTACCCACTGAGGGGCAGGGTAAGATTCTCCTCCTGGCTTTGGTAGAAGCTCCGTGGTAGAAGCTTGACTGGTTTGTGAATAGTCTAGTTCAAGTCCTCTGTGAATAGTTTAGTTCCAGCACAACCAGAAGTCGCTGATAAACTGTTTTAAACTGGTTTTAATATCTTCAGCCGCAACTTCTACTGCAAGAAATGGCTTGATGTATTGGGTTGCAGTTTGTAGATTATAACAGATGCTTTATTTTGTGTCATGGTGGTAATTAGGTTATTGCTATGAGACATTTATACAATATTATGAACAGGCCAACTCAGGCAGTAACTCTGAAGAGCAATGTGGAATCATTATTCAGTTAATGTTTAATATTTCTATTGTTGAGGGATTCAAACTGCCACCTAGTACATCTAGCTTTTTTAAAATGAATACTTACCTACCTGCTTATCTTAACTGAAAAACATTTACCATTTCATTAAAAAAGTCTGTAGGTTGATGTAATTCTTAATGTGCTATATATATGTCTGTGTCAGTATATTAATAACAAATGTTCTGAGTGGTATTTGCACAAATGCTTGTAGAAGAAAACATAACATTCCTTTTCCTCTGGAATTGCTCTTCCTAGGGAATACAGTTTCTGATAGAAAATGACCTCCTGCAGAACACTGCAGAAGACATTGCACAGTTCCTTTATAAAGGAGAAGGATTAAATAAAACGGTAATTGGAGATTACCTCGGTGAAAGGTAAAATAGAAATATTGAAAATTTTGTTCTTGAGTTTACAAAGCATACTTACAGATTTCGGTAGTTACCTTCCCCTTCACAGGCTGCATGAGAGTGCTACTGTACTACTCTGTGATCTATAAAAGCTACTGGGGGAAGTAAAACTGCTACGGTATTGTGACAGGGTTTTTTCTGTTAGGTTGTTCTTGTAGACTACATTGTGGAATGATACTGAATTCATTGTAACTTACTGTTTTGAGAAAATACCCTTAAATTTGGCTGAAGTGCAGAATTTAATACCATAAGCTTTTGGAATGTCTGAGAGCTGCAACAGTTCCGGTAACTCTTGATGCTGTGCCAGACAAGGAGTGTTTTACAATCACTAGTAAGTGGGACAGCAGTTATATGCAGGCTTTAGTGTTGTCATCTTCTGTGCACACAGACTTCCCATTAGTAAGGAGGCATCAGAAATGGCAGCTGCACCATATCTTTGTCAATCCTAGTACAATAAACATACAACATGCATATTTATGGACACTATTGCAAAACAGAGTCAAAATGCAAATTACTCCCATTGCTGTGCAACCCAGGAATTGATTTTGAAAAAGGTAGCAGAAAGAGACAGAAGAGTGGGCTGAAGTATGTGTATCTATATGCTTGCACGTGTTCCAGGTCAGATACCAGTTACAGAGGTTTAAAAGTTGACTCATTTGGGATATACTCCTGGAGTGTATATGTTCTGGCAGATCCCTTTTGAGGCACCTGTATTCTTGTTAACAGCATCAACAGCTTAGCTTGTGCTTGGCAATTTCCTCCTTATTTTAATGGTGTCAATGAAAGTTTTTACTGTAATATGTAGATTTTGAAAACAGATCTTGGCTATGAAGTTTCTGTATAGTACGTGTAGACATTTCAATAATTTTTATACAACAGCAGTATATTGTTTCTCTTGAATATTTGGACTATCAGTATTATAAAATCACTTATATGTTAATGTCCATAATTGCAAAACTGTAACAAAGCTTGTATAAAGGAGTCTGTGTTTGGTTTTGAGAGCTGCATTCTATCTTGGTTTTCTCATCTGAAATACTTTCAGTTTTTCTAGCCTTATTCCCAGAACTCCTGTACCAAGCAGAAAGGTTATACCAGTATGTCCAAGCCCACTGGAGTGATCAGTGATATTTTTATGACTATTCATGGGTTCACATTGAAAATGAAAAAAAAAAATATTGCTCATTCTTCTGCATCCCTGGCAGAGATGCTGCTGAGTAGCACTGTGGTCCAATCTGAAAATGCAGTATTTCTTAATATTGCGTATATATACAGATAAATAATGTAGTTCAGTTATATCTTCTAGACTTTTCAAGGTTTAAATAGAAATGTAGTGGATTTGATCAGGAAATTTTGTATGAATCAGCTGGATAATAAAATTAACCTACTGCTGCTGTTTTGCCACAAGGCAGAAGCAGCCTATCCACTTTAAGGAACAGTTGAAGTAAAATTCAAATTTGGTTTGTTTTTCTTTTTCTTTAAAGTAAGCTTTTATTCAGTCTGTCCAGTCAGTCTTAATTGTTTGATTGTTTTTTTTCATGTTTCTTCATTTCTGTGAAGGGTGTAATATTAATATGGTAATGGGAAAGCAAAGGATATTTCTCTCTATTCTTCACTTACATTAATTAGTAAGGGGGGCTGGAGGTGAAGTGATGACAGTCTGATTTTCAGGAATGTGTATAGAAATTTCAAGATCCCCCCTTGAATGGGGATTTGGTTCTTGATAAACCTTTGAACTGCAACATTAATTTCCTAGCATCTTAGTAATTTTTATTTATGTTCCTCTGAAAAGAATGCAGTAGACCTTTAGGTCCTGAGATAAAATAAATACCCTAGAATAAAACAAAATTTAACAATTGAGGTGGTCTTAAGCTGATAGTTTTGCTTTTGTGACTACCTCAGAAATGGGCTATTAAGTGATTTATGCTATACAAATGGCATTGCGTATTATTGATGAGTTTTTCCTTTACTTTCTATTTTTTTATCAAGGCACTTGGAGTCTAAGAGCATTCATTCTCCTTTACTTTCCCACTCCCTCTTGGGGGCTCATCATGAATTATTTCTGCATTCTACCTAAATACAGCTGAAGACAACACCAAGATAGTCAACAGAATGAAATATTTGTTTAACATTCTGCCATAAAGAGAGATACTTTAAATTACTGACTTGTACAGTGTTATGGCACTGAGGAACCTGAAAAAAGTGAATGGTAAAATGGAATGGGATAATACCTAAAAATGTAATAAATAAGGGATTAATTACATCCTATAAAAGATTGGAGAGCTCTTTGTATGTTTGTAAGCCTTCATTTATTCTTTCTAAGTGGCTTCCTAGACCTTTCATGATATTTGGCTTGTGTCTTTGGAGCTGTACCCAGCACAAGTATCACTATTAATCTAGTTTATGGTAAAACCTAGAAGAGCAAAATTTAGAGTATAAGGCTAATACTTGTTCTGAATTACTGCAGCTTTCCATACACATAAGCAAAATCAATATTTGGCTTAAAGTAACAAAGTACCCCCATTGAATGGTTTCTTTCATTATACTGTTATAACACTTTACTGCACTGAAAACTAGTGAAGTTGAACTTTAAATGCACTTGAAAGTGCATTACTAAATCTCATGAGAATTACCTCATTTTGCTTGACAGAGGTGATGTGTTTTTCTGTTTACAAAATGGGGACATCTCAATGAATGAATAATTTGTGTTAAGGTACTTACTTGTGAGTGTTACTGAGCAGTCTGGCTATGCAGTTAGAAATGCAACACAAGTTCTGGTGGGTGCACACCTTTCTAATTTTGGGTGGAGGCTGATATGCAGCATTCTGTCTTGGTGATGCATTTAAAGCACACTCTGAGGATTATAAACCTTTATGCTTCTGGCATATGAACTGAGTGATGGCATAGGCTAAATACTGTCTGCATCCAAACAGTTTTGGGTTCATTAATGTTTAAATGTTACTTTTTCATTTCAACATCTTTGTATCAAAGCAAAATTTGGCTCATGATTTACATAGCAATATAAAAGCTAGGTGAGAAGAAGCCTGTTCAAACCCTATTCTGACTCTAATAAACTTCTATTGTAACGGTTTTTGAGAATGGAGTAAGAATATAGTGCATACTAAGTAGTTCTTTTAAAAAGCTGTTCTTTTTCTTAGGTACAATCGGTATCCAAAGTACTTATCTTTGTACATAAATTAATATATTGCTTTAATATTTTCTGTTCTTAGAGGAAGAAACAGGATAGTTTGGTTTTCATGTGTTGAATGGCTAAAGAAATTGATCTCGGGTTGACTACTGGTTTGAGTTCATGGCACAATTTATGCAAAAGACATTTTACTGGATAAATTTATTTGGTGTCATCCCATATCAAAGCAGGTGCAGTAATAATAAATGGGAAGCAGGAAAGGCCAGGCCATTTTGAGTCATTTAAATAAGTGGTGCTAAAATAGGTTTAAGTATACTGGCTCTTGCTAAAGTACCTAGCAATAATGGGCAGAATGCCTCTCAAATTTGTAAACTATTTCTGATGACTTGATTTGGTCAGTATGATCATTTATTTTCTTGCTTATTCTTTGAAGCAAATAGAGATAATTAGGAATTCTTTAAAGTTCAGAATCGTAATCGTCTATTTGCATTTTTGTCTTTCATAGAGATGAATTTAATATTAAAGTTCTTCAGGCTTTTGTTGAACTCCATGAGTTTGCTGATCTCAATCTTGTACAAGCTTTAAGGTGAGTAAATTCTTTCTTTTGACCTGAGCTTTCTTTCTTGAACTGCACGTTCATATTAGTCCCTGTGTAGATTTATTCATCAGAAAGTTGATCTACAGCTTGGCACAACTATACGCATTACTGTGGAAGTTAGCAGAGACAGCTCTTTTTTAACCCTTCCAATTGCTTGTGTATGTGCTGCCTTCGAAGGTGAAAACTTCATCATTATTTCAGTCCAATACAAACAACTAAACAAACACAAATAACTTTTTGGTGTGCCTGCCATATGTGGACGTTTGAGGATCTGCTTCATATCTCAGCATTGAGATAGGTAAAAAACAAACTCCTAACCCAAACAAATAATTTTCTTTGCTGCCCTCTTCTTTCTTCTTTCCTTCCACCTCAGTTTGTTCCTCTGGGCAAGGAAGGGGTGGAATTCTGTTGACCATAATCTGTGATTATGTTCAATTTCAAAGAGGTAAACTTTGAACCAAGTTATTTCTACTTCCCTCCGAGTTTCCCACTTGTCATGTGAATGAAAGTATAATATTTTAGTATACTTTTTTCCCTTGCTAAGTGAACAGTTTACTTGACTTCCCTAGGATGCTAGCATGCAGTGACCTTGTGAAGTCCCTTCTTGTCTTAGTGGAAATCCATTACAGGTCTAACAACTTAAGTTGATTTAGATAGTTCTGCCAATTTCATTGTCATTAGTGACACCATCCTGACACCAGATAAATTGAAATGTCCATGTCCATCTTTGTCTCTGGTGCAGAGTCTTGTGATGTGGAGTCAGAACAGCTTTGCTATGGTTGAGTAATGGTAACTTGAGCTGCCTGAGGCTGGAGCTAAGGAAGCCTTTTCTCTGTCTGCTGAAGCTTTTCTGGGAGGCTTCATGTTTCTGTCACTTTTTCCCAATTTAACGTTAGGTTTAACTTTATTCTTCTTAGCAGCTGCTATTATTAAATGTTTGTATTTTGGTAGCTTACAAAATTCGTGATCTGGGTTGGAACCTTGCATGAGGTGAGTAAAAGACAGTATATAGAGATGAGAAACTAAAGATGGCCTGTGACACTTTAATGTCCTGAAATGAAAACTGATGAAGACAGGAATAAATGGTTACTATATTGGCACCCACTGTACAGGGAATATCAAGAACTTGTTTTGCATGGCAGAGCATGTAACTTTGCTGGTTTAGATCCTGTTTTAATTTAGATAATTTGCTAAGAAATTAAAAAATGTTAGATTCATTGGAGCTTTTTAGCGCCACAGTGTGCCAAAATAAATTTGTGAAGACTTCTGTCCTGTATGCATTCCAGTGTACCTATAGATAGAAATAGTAAGTTATGAAAGTAAAAACTGTATTCCAGTTCCTGCTGCCAAACAGGAGCACAGATCTCCTGTGTATATTACAGAATTACTGGGACAATATCATGAATCTTTCTTTTTGAGATCTAGGTCTGATTCTTACAGGGTGAGCTTACATTAGACAGGCAGCACCTCTCTAAGCATTGGGGGTTTTCTTGTTACTATTTTTAAAATGTTCTTGATGAGTTCAAGTAAAGATGTTAAGTGCTTTTTATATTCCTTGCTTCTCTTCCCTACCAGAAATATTTTCTGTAATGTGTCTTTTTACATTGTAAGTAAAGTCTAGCTGAATGAGTATTGCTTTTACTAGCCAGGAAACACAGAAAAGATTGATCTTATTGTTTCCCCATAGCAGCCTTGCAGCAAAAATGGGATGCATACAGAAAATCGTTTACTAGTCTGGAAGAAAGAGTCTCAGAATATGAACTGCTATATTATCTTGCCTGATAGCATGCAGTGTTGCTGGCTGAACTACTGGGCTAGCCATCTGTGCATGTTGCTTTATAATAGCTCCTGACTTGTGTGTTGAGAGATTGAGAACATATTTCTAGGACGTTTTATATAGACATTGCTGTTTGGTTGGTTTTGTGGTTGTTTTTTGGTTGTTTTTTTTTGTTAGTTTCTGATTATTGGTCATATGTGCTGAGTATATAAATCTAAAGACTATTCATCCCTTCTGTAGGCAGTTTCTGTGGAGCTTCAGACTCCCAGGAGAGGCTCAAAAAATTGATCGTATGATGGAAGCTTTTGCTTCACGCTACTGCCTTTGTAACCCAGGAGTCTTCCAGTCTACAGGTGAGTCACAGGAAATAATAGGAGTTCTTAATTGTGTGTATATGTATTTTATTTTCGTTTTTAATCATATACATTCTTCTGCATCTGATGCAAGGAGATGATGTCTAGTTTGGAAGTTCAGGATAAAATAATGTGTGAAATGAGAAATTTCTCAGAATTGAGAAAATGCAACTGTCTGATTCTACACTTTGTTTTCAGGAGGTGCAAGCTTACAGCCAGAATGCAGTTCCATTTATAAAACTTCAACATTAATATATATATCTAAGCCAATTAAAGTATGAAAGCTAATTGAAATACTGCACAGAACACTCTAGCATTCTGGCACCGTTGGTATGTTTAGTTATACATGATCATAGCTCGCTGTTGATCGCTTAGTTTGAGGAGCATACAGGCTAGGAAAGGATTGACGTAACGCAGGTCTGCAACAGCTACAGAGGAAAATACATATTGAAAACAACATGCTGAAGGTGCAAACACATTTTTCCTCTATGTAGCAGAGAGATTTCCATCCTGCTTTTTCTTAAAACAGACCTTGTACTTGAATTCTGGGAGAATTTACTATAATCATAACTGTGTCAAGAGGCATGATAAGATCTCTGTTGTCATCTTGCATGCCAAGAAATTGAGTCAGTGTCATTTTCAGCCTGTGTAAATATAGTTCAACTATTATTTTTAAGAGACTATTCTTCGGAGAAAGCTTTGTAAGTACTTTTAGTAGGAGTCTGATTGACCAAGATCTACCAGTATGATTTGGGCAAAATCTGTGTGCAGCAAATGTTTTGCACAACAGCACTTCAGTGTTTCAAGTGAAATGTTAATTTAGGGTGATAGGAATGCTTTCAAAGAGAGGGGTTTATTGTTTTGTTTTTTTTTTTTAATTCTCTTGTACTGTTTTTCACTTACTGGCTTTAAAGTTGAATGGTTCCATATTTTTCTTCTTTTTAGGCTTACTTCAGCAGTTTAAACAAAGATTTGAGACTTTGCTTCCATAGTTTTTCATGTTCAAGAGTTTTTTACTACCTTTGTCTTTATCAGTCAGGGTGAGCTTATATATTCATTTCACAGGTTTGCACTTCAACACATAGAAAGATAACTCCTTCAAATTTTATTTCAGATACATGCTATGTGCTTTCATTTGCGATCATTATGCTGAATACCAGTCTGCACAACCACAATGTAAGAGATAAACCAACCGTAGAGAGGTTTATTTCTATGAATCGTGGAATTAATGAAGGTGGAGACCTTCCAGAAGAATTACTACGGGTAAGTTCGACTGGGTAAGACAAGACATAGTTTTGTGGTTTTAATAGGAAATGTAGAAGCATGTGCAAAAATTCTCAGGCAAATTTGTTAAGGGAAAGTAAGAAGAACATTTTTTAGCATGCATAACCATTTGAATAGCTGAAAGAAGCATTTTCTGATATTAACAGCTGCTTTGAGCTGGTTCTCCCTATGTTCAGTCTTTTGTTGAAGAGAGAAGATTCCAGGGAAAACACTGTATATCTCTCAGTAGTTTGCTGATGGCAAAAATCTTGTGGAATTGGCTCCTTATGGAAAAAAAAAAAGGAAAAAGTATTTGGATAAGTCAGAAAAAAGCTGGAAAAAAAACAGTGAAAATCATTGTTTCATCATTGCCTCCCCATGTGTCTTGTGGAGCTTCCTCCTGTCCCTTGAGATATTAGTAAAAATACTTATTTTTCTAAGACATTGTGGTGGTCTAAACCATTTTCTGAAAATCCAGATTCAGTTGGCAAAACTTGTACTAAATGAGAGCTGAAGCCTCTGAAATACTGAATGCTGAAGTTAACTTAAAGATGTCTTTGCAAAGAGTGCTTATAAAATCTGTAAGAAGAGACATTTATAGATGGAATAATTTAAAATCAAACTTAATCAAAGTACTAAACAGAGTTGAGAAGGGATGGTCCAGAATGTTATGGATATTGTTTACTATGCATTTTATAGAGTCTGAGAAGCAATAAGATGTCCTGGTTGCATTTGCTGTTAGACATTTGTTAATTGACCTTTTTTTCCTCTTTTTTTTATTCTTCTAGAATTTATATGAAAGTATTAAGAATGAGCCATTTAAGATCCCAGAGGATGATGGAAATGATCTAACGCATACATTTTTCAATCCAGATAGAGAAGGCTGGCTGCTGAAACTAGGTTAGTTATAAGGGCAGTTTTGCTGTGACATGTTTGTTCATTGTTAGCATGTTTGCTGCTTTTTGTCTATCTTCTTTCTTGTGAAGGTAATAGGATTAACTTTGTAATTTGTATTCAAAAATGGATGAACCAAAATAAGTAACCCTTTTATGTCTGAATGTTGTTACTTCTTATTTTACATATCCAAATTGATCTTGTTTCAAACTTTGGAGTTCTATTTCTGATATATGAGAAGTAAAATTCAGTGACAAAAGGGAAATGCTGTATGGTATTTACCATATGCTGTGACTGATAAATAGCAGCTAAGTCTCTATAAGGTCATTTCAGAAAACTCTGATATTTCAACTCAGTTTTCTGTGTACAAAAAAGGATTTCTCTTCAAACAGTTATTTTTGTATGTCTTTATTTTTCCATATTATTTGTGAGTTTCTCTTGGTTTGGTTTTGGCTATGATTTTTTAATGAGTGGTTTAAATGTGCCTTCTTGTTTTCCTTATGGCCTATGACCTATCACCTTTCTGTTCTGTGACTGGCTGTCTCTGCTTATTCTGCATTAGGAGGTACGTATCTGATTGCTTTCCAGTCCCATCCTTTTCAGTTGCTCATTCTTTTGTTTTCCTCCTCCTTCCTCCTGTTTTCTTTTCTTCTTTTTTCTTTTTTTCTTTTTTCTTATTTTTAAATTAAATTTATAGTAGCGTTTTACTTTTTCACTCAGTGTCACTAACAGTATCATCAGGGGTACTCTGACTGGCCTGTCAGTGTCTGGCTTACATGCAAGTGTGTTCTAGAAAAGAAGAAAGTGCTTACATGTAAAGGAGAAAAATAAAGATGACTATTCTTGTTCTGTTCTTGTTCGATGAATAACATAAGAGGGAAAGAATGATTTCTACCAAGAGAAAACAACACCTTACTCTTGTAATGAAGTTCCAGGGTGATTTTGTTCCTTGTATGTCAATTGGATTATTGAAAGATTGATTACATTTGAACTATGCATTTATAAAAACTGTTATTTTGCTTTTTTATTTTCCTTTGTAAATACAATCTTTAGCTTACGTAACAAAATCTTGAATGAGCACCAAATTAGGGTTGTGGAAACCTCTGGTAATTTGCAGTCTCCTGGCACTGCAAGATGCCTTTGTTCACAAACTTTTTTTAGAGTTGATGAGATTCATGTTCTCACTTGGGCTTAGGGAATTTTTTCGTTTAAAAAGGAGACTGAAATTTTGTTTTCACATTTGTTTTTCAATGAAATAAGCCTCATTATATAAAAACACCCGTACACACTCCAGTAGAGCCAGTTGTTGGCCAATTTAACGTGTAACTGCTTGTTAAAGTAGAAGGAACTTTGCACTTGGAGAATGATGACTGAAGTGTGAAAAGGGATGTGCTGTGTGGTGCACGTGGGGCGAGTATGGTGAAAGTAGAGCCCAGGTAGAGCCATGGGCCCACTCTGTTGATTGCACCTAAAAACTGGTGGTCATGCTACTGCTGGAAAGAAATAGATGTGAAGAGGAAGCATTTGGCATTCATTCACGTGCTCTCTGATGTCTTCTTATTTTGGCCTCTGCACTACAGATGTTATGGATATCTTTCTAACTACAAAAAAGCAAAGCTCTTGCTTTTTGACATGTGTTGACTCAGCTGGCACAATTTCAAAGATGACTTTGCAGATTTTCTCCATTTTGTAGCACAAGGTGATAGCTATCTCAACAGCAATGGCTTTCAAAATTATGTAGGTAATGTGCTTTCTGGAGAAGAAGCTGGGTATAAGCCCATGCTGTGCATATTTCTATTGCTAGTACCCTTTCATATACACATACTGAGAGCGCAAGCAAGAGTGAGAGTGTGTGTAGAGGAATGACAGTTTCGGAAGAAGCTGTCAATAAAAATTCTAATAAAGATCAATAAGAGATCTAATAAAAAATAGAGGAACAAAGAAATTGAAAAAAATAGTGACTGAAAGTCAGCGAGAGCTGCCAGCTACTTCTGCACAATCCATCTCTGGCTCTGGCACAAGGTCAATAAAATCAGCTTTTTATTATGTACAGGGTAGATGAGACAGCCTACAGAAAACCCAGTAGTAAAAGTGTGTGTGAAACAGCAGGGTGTGGCACATAACACTCCCATGACATGAGGGTTATTTGAATAAAGAAATCAAACATATCCACAAGCCTCTGGTGATTCAGCCTGTAAATGCGTGAAGCTGTGCTTCCGTGAAAGACTGCATTTTTTTCAGCTCACACAGGCTGGGACAGACAAATACATTTTACGAGTGTAGGTGCACTGACCAGAAATAAGCCTGGCAATCTTTCTTTTTTTCATTTTCTTTCTGTTCTTTTTTTTTCCTTTTTCTGTTCTTTCCTATCTTCTTTCTGTTCTTTTTTCTTCTGTTCTTTCTTTTCTTTCTTTCCCTTGGGTTTCCTATTTGCTAGGAGGCTTAAACTGTATGTTGAGAGTGCTGTCTCAATCCACATCGTTTGCATTTTTACAGTCCCTTCTGTTGGGAAACACATCTTGTGAAATGAGTAGGGTTTCCTTCAGTTCTGGAGAACGGTGATATGGAAAGTTTCAGTATTGTTGAAATGCAAAGGAGACTACTGCTGTGTGAGAGTTTAGCTGTTATAATACTTAGAGTTGAAACAGAAAGTTCATCTAAAACTACAAGTATGACCAAGACATCTTGGAAACCTTGAGTATATTATGACAGTACTTTGTATTTGGTATTTCTTACAGTTAACTCTTCCCATTTATCTACTTGTGCCCGTCTGTTTAGTATTGCAGCTCCCCATATTGATTATCCTGTGAGCAGGAGATGGATGTCACAGACCTTTCATGTGCTATAAGATTCAACTATCCTAAAGATCACCCTAGCTTTCCAGGCTGGCACTGGGCTTTAGAAAGCTGAGAGGGTGCTAGATGCTTTTGGAGAGTTTGCTGCCCTGAATTGTTCAGAGGTGACTTTGTATAAGTCTTGCCTAAACCTGGTAGCCAGACAGTAGTTCTGGTTTTATCTATGTAGACTCAGCTGTTTCCTTTATATAGACATCTTTATCGTGGTAAGCCTAAATTATCATTCAGTTCTACATTGTCTGAAGCATGAATCCTTGCTTAGGGCAGCTTGAGACATTGTGAGCTTTTAGATTTTTCTGCATCATAATTATTAGTGGTGTTGGCACCATGAAGCTTTCTGCCATCCACTTCAAGGTATTTTGAAGCTGTAGTCTGTGCTCTGTCTCAGTGTCCAAGTTGCAGTCATTTTGCACAGGGAGGCATTTCCTTGCCTAAAACAGCCTCTCCTGGCAAACAGCTTGGTTTATGTAATATTTTCATCTAGTTTGAGGGAAACTATGACATTATTCCACCAAGCCGGAGAGGAAATGATTCAAGCTAGACACATGTTCACATTCTTTTCTTCTGCCTGTCAGGCAGTTACTGAGAACTTGGAGATAGTTCAAAAGCTCCACGTTTGGGCCCATCCTGCCAGGGATGGGCCTTGAGAGGATGCCCTTTCTCTCTTCCCTAATCTGGGGTAAGAGAATAGTGGTGGTTAATCAGGAAACTGGTGCCTTCTGGTACCTGCCTTGTTCTTGTAGTAACTGATGCTCTTCCAGGTTGAGGCAGTCAATGATGTGGTCAAGGGAAACTTCTTTTTCAAAGAAATCCAAGCTTTGGTGCAAATCACCTGTATAACTGTACAGTTTGTGGGTCCATTCTGCCTAGTTGTATCAACATGAGAAATAAACATTCTTGATGAGAAGAAAAATGAGTCTTGATGGTGCATCTCTCTCTTTCCCCTCTAAAACTTCATATAAAGGTGCTGAAGATTTGGGTAGAATTTTCTAACTTCAGACACGTTGCTGCCTTTAGTCCTAAGACCTTTTTTAATGTTTAAATATGTGTTTCCTGAGTTATTGTCAGTTGTTTTTTCCTTTAATTATAGGCTTCTTTTACCTATGTTGTCTAGTTTGTACTTTGCCCACAGTTGGGGGGAAAAAAATCCTATGTTGGGTTACGTAAGTGAAGAGAGTTTCTGTTCCTCTTTCTGTACCTTGTGCCTTGTTGTGGGCTTTTCCTGTGGTTTCCTTAGATTTCCATCTACAAGATATAATGCTGCTTTATTTTCTTGAAGTCTTTGCATTTTAATTAATCAACTAGATCTTTCAGAAGTACATCACTTATATCTCTCCATTACTATAAATGTTTATGGATTCATACTTTGATTTTCTTGATCCTCTTCTGCTAACTTAATTCCTTCCAGTTTTAATCTTTAAAAGGCTGGAAGCTGGAATAAGATATGAAGTATGGTACTAAACCCTTTGTTTTGTGAGCCTACGGCAATCTTGGCCAAAGAAAAGAATGTTTTGTTATCACGAGTTCTTACCATTAATCTTGCCTACAGTGCTTATGGGCCACAAAGCCTTATCAACCAGCTTCTTGGGTTTCAGCCCATTGTAAAGGCATATTAAATGCTTGTTTTATGGTGACCCCTGCAAACTTGGCGAGTACAGATTAGATTGCCTTTCAAGCTTTATTAGCATTTCTGTGCTGTTGACAGCTGCAGCAAAGCAGTGGAGTGGGGACACAGAGACTTACATGTGAGAATAGTTTCTTATCCTGCCAAAAACTCCTGCCTTGCTGCTTTTTTTTCCTGGAAAAGTAATTGAGAGTTTAGTGGAGCAGAGACTTCAGGTCTATTTCCGCAACTCACATGAATGTTGTAACCCCATGAGCTACTTCCTGGCTCTTTTAGGGAGAAAGGAGCAGTAAGGGGGATGCCTTTGGAAATACTTGATCTTCTCTCTGGCTTCAACATCAATACTACCTTGGAGCTGGGAAATGTTTCATGACAAAAGCTTCATCAAAGCTGCAGCATGATTTTACAAAAGGTTTCAGGTTTGAGAAATACGGCTTTTCCCAAGGGGCAGGGAGGTGACGTCAGGAAAAACTTCAGCAAACTCAACTGTAATTTACTACTTGGCATTTCATATTGTCCAAGGAGGTGTGTGTTTTAAGTCTATTGTTCCTGCTTCAAGTTATTAGTAGGTCTTCTTTTTAACTACATGGTTATTACCTGCTAATTTTTTTATTGTGTTTTGGCATGGGAAAAGTTTGAGGAAAACCTTTGCTCAATTTAATCTGCCTCTGTGATAGTTACCTATTTGCCTGTTTGTTTCATCTTCTCCCCTGCTGAATTGTTTTTCTACTAGAACTAGGCAAGCCATGACATTTGATGCAAGCTCATGTTGCCTGTTAGCCTGATGAGTTTGTGCCCTAAAAATGTTAAACGATGTTAACCTTAGAGAACAGAACATGACTTAGAAATCCTGGCAATGAACACTGGGTTGTATGAAAAGATGTCATGTTATTGTGATAGCAAGGACTGCCTTGGCCGTCACCTTGACTCAGCTGCTGCTTATGCATCGATCTGGAAGTGAGTCAAGCTGAAGTGAAGTACTTCCTGATACTTGAACCAGCTCTCAGTCAAGGTGATGGGAGTTTTCTAGTGACTTACGTGCCAGTTTGAATGTTTCTACAATGCTTTACTTAAGGATCTGTCACAGTGGTTGCCACCAGTTCTTCCCTCACTGTCTCCAGTTCACTCAGCCATTCATTCTGTCACGGCTTCTGCATCTTGCACTATTTTGCCTTCTCTTATTTCACCACACCTGCTTGCAGATTAAATTTTTCTTAAAATATGTGTGTGTGTATGTAGTAGAAACATAAAAGTTCATTGAGTATATTGAGCATTGCAGTGCGTTAGCACTGGGGTAATTGTGTAGGTCGTGAAACCAAGCAAAAGGAAGATACAATGTGCAACATACTTGGTCTGCAATGCAAACGTGTAGTACACTGGTATCAAGAAGTTTCATGAGATTCCTAGAGTTGTTCTTTAATATTATTTGGATTTCTGTATTAAGAAAAATCCTAGCTATCTCAAGTAGAACAAAAAGATAAAAAAATTATGCTTATGTCTTAGATTTAGTTCTATGACTTGGACTGAATGGGGGGGGTGGTTGTGTGTATTGACAGTACTCCTTTATGTGTGGTATTCAACAGCAAGATCAACTGTTTTGAAATGTTGGATTAATGAGATTAAATCACTGCTGAATGGATGATGCACAGGTGGTGACGTAATCCTGAAGTCAGATAACTATGGTGGAGCTAAGCCTGGATCTTAAGAACACATGAATGCTTTATCTGCAGTTGTCTTTCCTGGAAATGAGTTTGAAAAATAATGTGCTTGTGGACTGCTAGACATGTTCTGAAGTAGCCAATGGCAGAAAACCAGCTGAAAGCTCCAAGACAGTAATGTGTGTTTCTAAAAGGAATTGTTCCTTACAATGTGACATTAGCGGGTGTAAGAAAGAGGAGCTCTATGGTCATTGTTTCTACCCTGTTAATGCAGGAAAAATTGGCATTTTTTGAGCAGTAGCTATTTCTTCTGTCAGGGGAACTCAGTGATATATTAACCCATAAGGAGAACATGCTTTTAAAATAGTAAATTATGGCAGGTGACTAAAATTGGTACATTTTGGCATAAGATTTGCTCTTTATTCATGGTACATATTTGTTCTGCTAGTAATATTTATAAGCATCTTCTGCACTTGATGTTAAATTTGAAAGTAGTTTCTTGACCACATGTATGCTCCCAAGTTAAAGGAAGGTGATAAAACGCCCTTGATTTTACTGATGGGACCCTTTTCTTGTACAATATGTGCTGTGGATAGGGTTGGTCCTGTTGCTGGAAACCAGTTACTGATTTTGCAACCAGGTAGTTATACAACTGATCCTGGAGCAAGAGTGCAAGTGATGTGTTTAGCTGCTTACCAGCTTAAACCAGACACTGGTGATTGGCCTCCCTTTGCTGTAGCAGCACTGAATGCATTTCTGAGGGCTCTATAGTATTAATGTTTTGGATGCAGTAAACATGTGATGGCATGGACAGAGGGAGTGGGCATGACTGCTGAACTGTTGCATTCATTCCCTGTAAAAGAGGAGACATTTGCAACTTTAGAGCATCCAGCTTTTGTGGCTGGTCAGCAACACCATAGTTAATGCTGCCTTGGGCATTTGGTCTTGGCATGAGAGTTACGGTAACATGTTCCTCTAACCTCAGCTCATCTGTGCCTGATCCATTTGGGATGAAGTAATCAAGCTACATTTTGAAAACCAAGCAAAACTAAATCACTGTCTTACCCATTGTTGAAGTCTTGATGGTGACACAGGTTTAATTCAGCCATAACTTTGATTGTAGGGGGAAGAGTAAAAACGTGGAAACGGAGATGGTTTATTCTGACTGATAATTGCCTGTATTACTTTGAATACACAACAGTGAGTATATATTACAGTGAACTTTGTTTGTAGTAAAGATATTTAAGTGGCTAATAACATATTGTCTTTTTCTTTAGGACAAAGAACCAAGAGGAATTATTCCATTAGAAAATCTTAGCATAAGAGAAGTTGAAGACCCTAGAAAACCAGTGAGATCTCTTCTCCCCTCTCCCCTCTTCTCCCTTCCCCCCTCTTTTTTTTCTTTTTCTTTTAAGAACTAAACCTCATAGAAATTCGTGTTAAATGAGGATGTTTGTCAGTTTTGTTTTGGTTTGTAAATTGATTTCTTCCATTTCTACCCTCCAGAACTGCTTTGAGCTCTACAACCCTAGTCATAAAGGTCAGGTAATTAAAGCGTGTAAAACTGAAGCTGATGGTAGAGTGGTGGAAGGCAACCATGTAGTGTACAGAATATCTGCTCCCACCCCAGAGGAAAAGGAAGAGTGGATTAAATCTATCAAGTGAGTTTAACGTCTCAAATGTCTTTCAGAAATGAAGTATAAGTTCTTTTTGGAGTAAGATACTAAGAGAATTTGTATTCTAACTTGTTTGAAGAATTCTGCTGTGACAATATGCTCAAGGATTAAAGACAAACTACATGGGGTTGCCAGATCAAGAAACAAGTGTCCTGTTACTGACTGGTCCTCAAGAAATAGTGCTGCTAACTCAGACCAGGAAAATATGGATTTATTACTTTTTAAACAACTATAAAAGCCTTGTGTCTTTAACCCTAATTTTATTAGGTTCCTACTTCACCTGATAATTAACTTCAGTGACATTTATCTTAAACATGTTCACAGTGCAGCTTTAAACTTTCACAGCTTGACTTTATCTGGAAGGTTTATAAAGCAGACCTACACCTAAAGAAATAGTCAAGATGAAGATACGAACTCTTAGCAAATGGCAGCTGAGTAATATCTTTTTCTAAAGAAATGTTCATGATGCTTAGAATTCAGTGGTCTATGATCTCATTAAGAGTGTGGAGTCATGCACAGGGAAGAGAGCAAAATAGGTTTAGTTTTCAAAAACAGGTATCTGTTAACCAAACCGATGATTCCTTTTTTTTCTCTTCTAGAGCAAGTATTAGCAGGGATCCCTTTTATGATATGCTGGCAACAAGGAAACGAAGAATTGCGAATAAGAAATAGAACATGATCAGCAGCTTTTATACCTGCCTCAACCTATAAATGAGCATGCAGTTGAATGATAATGTAAAAATTGGACAAACTAAATGAAGACAAGAACTGTAATTTTTTATATATATGTACACTTTATTATAACATAAAAAACTTGGCAAGACCTTTCAGGGTAAACAGTTACTGGCAAATGATTTCAAGTATGCTTTAAATCTCAGAGGATGATTATACTGGAACTTAATTCAACCAAAAACATGAAAGCTTTGTTTTTACTTATATTAGCTACAGCTCCAGTTTACTTGGGTTGGGAGGGAAAGAATTTGAGCCTAATAGTAAAATGTCCTATAGCTGTTATTTGAGCATGTGTCCCACAAAAGGAGGAGCGATTGTAAGACTTCCATCTCTCATTAAAATGCAGTACGGAAAGTGGAGTATGGTGTGATTTAGCACTTAATTCTTCTGCAAGCAGGAACCCCACAATGTCAGTATTAGTTCTCATTTTTGTGTGTTATGCAGTAAATGAACAACTGCGTACAGCTTTCATTTAGGATTAGCTCTCCTACCTTTATGGAAATACCTTTTCTTCATCAGAAATGCAACTCTGTGGTAGACTGGCAGCTACAGCGTTAACTAGTTGTGCCAAATAGTTTGGTTGATAAACACTAAAATATAAAGAGGTCCCCGCAGCAAAGGTTTGAGTCGGTACGCGTAACACTAAATACAGATGGGGTTTGATACTTGCCAGTAGGCTAATTCTCATTCCTGTCTGCTCATAAGCTTACTATAAGCAGTGAGATTTTAATGACTGATATAATCTGCTTTTTTATATAGTAACATTCTTCTCATGTTTGAGATATGTTGTAGTTTAATTAACACTAAGTCACTATTAATGGAGAAAAGTGACAGGGTTTGCATGAGTTTAGGCTTTACATGTGAAAATATGCCAAATCATTTCAGATGCATTTAGTGTTTTTAAAGGAGAAAACCAGGAAGGTAAAATCTTTCAGTAAGATAACACCCCGTGATAATTAATCAAGCAGGATTCATTCCTCTGCTTGTTAACAAACTTTAAACATACAGAAAACTTCAGTATTTTTATTGCATTCCTTAAGGTGATTTTTCAGATCTGTGCTTCAGCAGGGGAGGTTGAAAAAACGAATAGACATCCTTATTTTACTTTAATAACTTATACACTGATTACAGAGTATTCCCCACAAGCACATCTCTTTTTCATAATTTGTGGAAGACCTCTCAGTGGTTCTATTTATAGTATTTCAGTAGCACACGAATTGCTATGGCAGATTTTCCCACAGTGCTTTTCTACTCCCAGTGCATGTACTGTTCAGAAGGGAAAGCCCCTAGTTCCATGCTGGACGCACAGGGTGGCTTTTTTGGACTGCTTCCGGTAGCAGGCAGTTTTTCACAGACTTGTTGAACCTGAGCCGTGCCTGCTGTGCCAGTGACCGCTTTGGGGACCCACTGCTTTATCAAAGCAATTTTGCTTGGTGGAGTTGCAGAGCAGCTCGGCATACAGCACAGGGAAACGTGCCGTCCTGGCAAAGCCACAGACTTACCAAGGCGATGTGTTTGAAATCCCCTTTTGACTGTCAAGGCGAGGCTGGTTGGTTGTTCCAGTCTTGCTGATGTGCCCTGTTTTGCATGGGGTGTCATCCTGCCAGCGTTCTGCTTTATTGCATGTTTGCCATAAAGGCTGAGAGGAAAAGAACAAAGTAAACGTTTCTACACCTCAGATTTTCCCCAGAGCGTGTGGAATTGTGGTCTGCTTGGATGCCTGTTCAGATACAAGTACTTTCAAGGGAGTGAAACTCAACCAGCGGAGGTACAATCCTTGAACAAGTGTCGGCGTGGAGATACCTTTGCTTAATGGAACACATTTAAACTCTTTCTAGAAATGATTTGGAGTCGTATGTCCTGCGTTTGCAAAGCAGCGTGATCTCAGAGCTGCTCACATCACCTGTTTCGAGTCTTCTGTTCCGCAACTTCAGGTTTTGTATTTGAGCAATGCGTACATCAGTTTGAGCTCTGTACAAGTAGAGCTGTAATGCAAATAAGCCAGAATCAGTGGTACCAAGAAGTGCAAGGGTGTGAAAAGCAGCCAATAAAGTATTTCTGGAGAAATGTGAGATTACCAAAGCATTCATAAGCCATGAAGAACTTTTGTATCAGTTCTTCCCTTCTGAAAATCTGTTTATTTAACCGGGTGAGGATGCCTGCCCAGAAGCATGAAGGAAATGCCTTGGGAGTTAATTTGCTGTATTTAGATGAAGTTCTTCTATCCGGCAGGAATAACTATTGAGAGTAATGTATAACTAAGCAGGAAATGTAGTATTTCTCAGCATTAAAAAGATGCGACATCCTAATCAGCTATTTGTGGTGCTCAGTGAATCTCTTTTAATTTACCAAAGCTAATGGAACAATGTTCTTGTGTGTGATGATATTTCATTCCGAATGTTCTTTGTAAGAGGATTAAGAGGGAGTGAAACTGGCCCAAACTTTCCACTGTTCACAAGGCCAGTAAAACAAAGTGGCTTGTGAAAATATCAGGCAAGTAGGTACTACCCATGTGGGCAAAGAAAAAAACTCTCAACCTTTTTTTTTCCCTTTTACTATTGGGCTTTAAGTCCAGGGGTAGCTACTCAGACAGACTGGCTGCTCAGTGGCCTAAAGCAGCACCTGTTAGAGGTTGGCCGTGCTGAGGAAAAGCCCTCTGGGGACGACAAACTTCTCCCTTCCTCTTGCACTGAAACGCGTGCAGTTCTTCTGCTCCTGGTTTTCAGTGCTGCCCTTTGCAGCTGCAGGGGCCAGCCAGAGCCAGGCAGGTGGCTTCGCTCAGCATCTGAACTGTGTGGCTGCTTCCATCAGCCACGGTGCCAGTGCAGTGCAGGCAGAGAAATGCACGGGAAACTTCAGCTCAGCCGGACTGACTTAAAACTGACACTATTCTGACAAAATAAGCTTTACGTTGCTTCACATTTTGAACCGGTTTAAATTGGTACAAAACAGAACCTCTGTCAGCTTGAGCAGCATTTATAATGCTTTCTAGTGTTTGAAAACAATGCGTATTTTTAAGATGTAGTACATACCTATGTAGATATGCTGGCTGGAAAAGCTAGGTCTCTTGTAGACCAAATCCTACAAACTAAGACTTTTGGCTTACAAATTCCTTTTCTGTATTTTCTTGTAAAATGTTTCTAGCTACAGTTTGAATAGAAAATGTAAATGCTGCACAGATAGGGACTGATTGAAGTATTACTTGGTGTACACAAGTGATTTGCATGACATACTCTGTATCGATCGTTAAAAATGTGGTGTTTGATGTAAATCCACTGCAATAGTAACGCTGTCATTTATCAGGAGGACCTGTTGCTTCAGCCTGGAGACTTTCTCTAAAATAAAGTGTGAAACTCTACTGTTGCATAGCTCCTCATTTACCAGGAATACATGGGAGGTGCGTGCTGATTTAGTTAAGATCTGATTTTGCAACTGCTCTTGTAAGTAAAAGGCCTCTTTGCCTACCTTTAAGCATACTGATTTAAATTGACAGGTTGAATTTTTCAGAGAGAAAACTCCTCAGCTGCAAAATCGGTTGTTTTTGTAAAGCTGAACACTCATAGCTGTGTTGCTATGAATGTTACTCCATTAAGAGCTGCTTTCCCACCCTAAATTAAGGAGGGATTTTGCCCATTGCCTTCCATGAGCTTCAGTCAAACATAAGGCAAGTGGGGGAACAACTCAGATCTCTTCTCCTCAAGTCGATTCATTAGACCAGACAGATTAGTCAGATGAACTGTATTTCACAGAGGTTCCCACTCACTGGTCTCCTGATGCAGGACCAGTGACTATGAAGTGCATCACAGTTTGACAGCATTTAATAATCAAAATTAAAATCACAGTATGAATTTGTCTTTAGCTAGCCGCTTTAGGGAGACAAAACCAGACAACTGAGACTTCAGACAAGTGACGGTATATTAAGAAAATGGAATTAAAACAGATGGATTTTGCTTTGACGGTAAATGTTTCAATAATAAATTCTAAGTTTCGATAGTATCGATAAAGTCCACTTTGAAGACAAAGAGTCATTGTTTTTTTTCGGTAAAGAGTCGTCGGTTTTGATGGTAAAGCCAGGTTTGATGGTAAACAGGTTTGATGGTAAAGAGTCAGTTTTGATGGTAAAGCCAGGTTCGATCGTAAGCAGGTTTGGTGGTAAAGCCACGTTCCATGGTAAACAGTCACGTTTGATGGTAAGCAATGAGGCTTGGTGGTAAAGAGTCAGTTTTGATGGCAAAGCCAACGTTCGATGGTAAACAGGTTTGATGGTAAAGAGTCATTCTTGATGGTAAACAGCCAGGTTTGATGGTAAACCATCAGGATTGATGGTAAAGAGTTGGTTTTGATGGTAAGAAGTAGTGGGGTTTGTTGGTAGGTTTAGTTCGGGTATTGAAGGATTCAATCAGTAAGCTTTGCATCTGAAAGACAAAAGAAAGCAAAGTCACTCCCTGTCGTGACATTCAACATCAAACCCTGTCTCAGTGGTTTGGTTTCTGAACGACAAGTCTCAAGCCTGCACGCAGCTCCGTCTGCTCTGTGACTACAGGATCCGACAGACTCGAGAAGGTGGCTTCCTCACATCCCAACCAACTGCATTTTGGATCTACGCTAAGGTGGGTGAACTGTACACAGTATTAGGACAAAGCTACCTCCTTTCATAGCAAGTGGTAGGCTTAGGTAAATTTAGGTGAGGTTTTGTCTAGACAGCATCCTTGTTTTACCAACAGTCTTGTGTTCAAGCTCACCAGATCTTACGTACTAAGCCTTCAGAAGCCTGTAGAAACTTGGAGAGAATCGTACAGGAGAGAATCTGTACGAATGTAGGAAAGCAACTGCTTTAAAGCTGCTCCTTCTCCCATCCCACCTCCATTTTCCTTCAATCACACATTATCACAAGCCCTTTCCATCCTTATTAATTTACTGGGGAGTCCTGGTGAAAAGGCACAACCTAACAATTCCTTCTCAGCTGTTGTCTGTCCCTAGCCTGTTTGAGAGGTTCCAGGCTCTTTAAAAACACACTGCTGCGGTGGCCTTTTTTGAGAGAGATTCCGTTACCCAGAAATTCTTACTTGGGACCCATTTAATTAGTATTTTTAAAGACAGACGTTCCACAAGAGGAAGTTCCTTAACATCTATGGACTTGAGGAAATACTAAAATTCTGCAGACTTAAAAGACTGCTTTTCACAGCCCTCATATCCCACTTGTGTTGCAAGCAGTGGATCAAAGTGGGGTTCTATCAATGTGTTTATCGGTTAACATCTCTTACGCCTACACAGATAGCGCACTAATTGTAATGCCCCTGACCTGTGTAGTGGGGTGCAAGGCATTTAATTTCTTCCGATAAGACTTTAGATGCAACAAAGATTAGCCGTCAGACTGAATGACAGTAAGTCTTGGTTTGTACACAAATCCTTACAGGGGCTAATTGTGGAATATGTGGAATTAAAAATACGTAATTGTTGCAACCTAATCAGGAACAGGCGCAGATGTGGTTCTGTCCTGGGTTCAGCAGGCTGGGCTTAAACCACAACAGGTTCTTCGCTTTGTGCTCCAGATCTAGCATTCTAACGCTATTCAGCAACATCCTTCCTATGTTTGCTTGACCAACCTAATGACCAGCCTAATGACCAACCTGTAGTCAGATTATCCTACAAAAATCACTTATAAACAATGGGAAAAAGGCAGGCATGGGAAACATTCAGAAAAGAGTTAGGAAAAGAATGGCGGATTATGCTGGAATTCCTGCTTACTTGTAATCCTTCTCTCGATATTTATCTTTGGACTTCTTTTTCTTCTTGACCTTCTTATCTTTTTTCATTCTTTGGTCATCTATCTTGCGGCGTTTCTTTTCCACTTCAGCTTCGCTTCCTTCTGCGTCGCCATATTTCTTCTTGCCAAGCCTCAGTTTCTCATTTTCCCAGAAAGAGTTGTCAAATTGTGCATGAGCTGAGGCAGGTGGAGGTGCGTGCCCTTCCCGAGAGTGTTTTTCAGACTGCTGAGGTACTGAACAGTGACGGAAGTTCTCTCTGTGGCTACTCAAGTGATGGGCTCCTTCCTCTCTGGAGTGAGTGTTGTGAGCCCATCTGCTCTTGCAGTGATAATCCCTATGTGATTTGTAGAATTGACTCAATTTGTCAAAGGCTTTATCAAAATGAGAGGACTTTCTCTCTCTACCATCTCCTGTTCCATGAACAGAGTAATAATCCTTGTAATATCTGCATTTTTCCCATCTCCGTAATTCATCTTGGTAGTATCTTTCCCTGTTCCAAGTCCTCTCTCCTTTGGAATGGTAATACTTATTCCTGTCTTGTTCCGTTCTTTCTCTGCTGCGGGATTTATAACGAGAGTATTTTCCTGAGCTTTTGCCATTATTTGGACTGTTTCTTTCATGATGGGAAGGTCTGTACTTGCCTTCATTGCAATAATCCTGCTTATGATGATATTGCTTATTTGTTTCCATGCTGCAAGAGCGCCTCCTTTTGTAGGAACGATCATCCGCTTTGCTCCTGCTTTGCTTCCGGTCTTTACTGTCAGAGTATTGTCTCTTCTTTCGGTAGTGCTCTTTGTCAGTTTTTTTGGAGTCCTGTACCTTCTCCTCGTATTTTTGCCTATTATCCTCTTCGCAGTTTTTATTATTCAGCCCCTCATTTTGTCTGGGGAATTGACTCTCCAGAACTTTATCCAGCTTTGTAATAGAAGAGTCATTAACAGGTGGTACCTCTACGTAGTTATTAGAAATGTCCTTTGTATCTTGGCATTTATCTGTAACACCTAGACATACAAGTTTTTTAGGACTACATTCAATGTCAGACTTCACAGAGGAAGCTTGCCATAATTTCTCTTCACTCTCGGGAGACCCTTTCATATACGAAGGATCTCCTTTTGCAAAGAGTACAGGTTCTTTTGGTCTTCCTGGTCTGTCTTTGTCTCTACTTTCTTCAGACTCACAATGCCCAAGGTATTCATCTTCAGTATCCAAGGATATTTTCCTGACCTTGTGCTGACCACTGATACTGGGATGTACGTTATCAGCATTTGTTATCACACTTTCAGCAACGTCTTCGGTAGCAATGGTTTCAGTGGTTTCAGAGTCTGATACAGTAAAAGGACTCTCAATCTCACAGCCAAGGTCGGAAAGAGGCATCCTGGATTGTTCATAGGCAAACACTGTTTCCGTCACTATGGTTTCCATCAGACGATCACCCTCAGACCTCTGAGGTGCAGATACACTGCACAAAACAAAAAACACATTTTTCACTTGAAAAAGTTCACCTAAAAGATAAATGTTAGGAGCAAAAATCCCTTGAAGTAAAAGATTTGGTGGCTACTGGTAAACTCTGTATGTTTCTAAACTCCCTTACACAGTTTGGAAACTGTCGCGTTCTAAAGGGACTCTGTAAGGCAGTCCCTTTAGAAACCGACTCTTACACATTCAGCAGTGCCCAGAGAAGATGTTTTTCTTCTCTTGAGCTTGCAAGTAGTACATTAAAACCCACACCCAACACATTTGTCTCCCTCTGCTCACTGCTCTGCATCGCATCAGTAGCCAAAACCACTACCTTCGCTCTCCCCAAACTAGAAAAAAGTCAACTCATTCATTTCCCTTCTCTCCACAAAATGGGAGGGCACGAGGTGGGAATTTACATTGGAAAAGAAATCCAATTGTAAAAAAAGTAAAATTATCCTATGAAGAAACAGAACCATTCTGGGAGGCATCTGCTTTAATTAATATCAGAATAACACATGTTCAGTGCTGACGTCTGCAACCCTACACATACAGTGTGGAATTTGCTGTACTGTGTAAAGCTTTCTATTAAATAGTACTAGTAGATGGGTAAAACAATGATAAACTTGTATGAAATCTTGTTTTCATCAGAGTGTACTCAATTTACCTTGTTTTCTCTGACAACCTGTTCAGGTGGCTGTAGGCCAGGGATTCTAAGACTATTTCTTGAGGAATCGGTGACTCAGCTACAGGTATCTACAATTAAAACGCAGACGTTAACAGACAAAAAAATACCACCTTTAGAAGAAAGCTGTTTTCAAAATTTCCTCATTAGTCATTAAACAAGATCACTTTGCCTTACATGCACCATTGCTATTTCACACATCACCCCTTCCCCCCCAGTATATTTATGAAACTTATGAAGTACTATCTCAGGTGAAATTTTCTGAAGTTGACATGTTCTCACATGCCAGTTCAGCTCTGCAAATTCTAATGCAACAATAGCACAAAGCGTTAACGATGAATTTTAAATTTGTGCTGTCTGTTTTCACAGTATTTCACATGACTTAGGAACATCTTAATGCTCCTGAATACTAAACACACCATAGGTGAGGAGTTCTAGATGGAACAAACAACTCACTGGTTCAAGCAATCCATTTGTTTTAGCAAAGAATATCTCAGAAGGTTTAGCAGGTTGGACTTGGCAAGTAAAATCATCAAGTTTCAGTCCATTTTGTTTAGATTATCAATTTGGTGCCATTATTTGCTCCCTGCAAATTACCTTAATCATACGAGGAGGAAGCCGTGCTCCCATAAATCCAGCCTGCTTACTATTAGGCCCGTGCTGACCAAGGAATGAACGGGGATAAGAAGTTGCTGGTAAGCAAAAACCACGTTCTCCAACTGTCAAATCGTGGCGCCTTGGGAAAAAAACAGTGATATCACTTTAGAGTTTTTCTTTCAACCTATTCTTGGATTAAAACCCTATCTGTAATTTTATAAGAACAGATGATGTGACACAGAAGCCACATACAAAACACTCAACCGAGACTACAAACTAAAAAAACAGACAATGGTCTCCCTACAATGACTATTCTTGTCAGAGCAACATCTCACCCTTACGCCATCTACGGTGTTATTTCTCCTCTTCTAAATTACCCCGCTACGTAGAGCGGATACAGAGCAATGTACACAAGCACACCAGTTTAAGGCCAAGCAATGAAAGACAGTAAATGACAGCGGTAAGTTCAGGTTAGACAGAACTGAATTACAGAAACAGTAAACTTTTCCTAGGACAGAAAGAAAAACACTTGGAAAAAAAGAAAAGTATCAGTAACAGGAAAGTAAATATATTCTGAACAGATTCAGTAGTTGGTATTACCTGATATAAAAAAGTAAATAAGCTTGCTGATTGAGAACCGTTTTGATATCGGAACACTCCACTATGGCATCATTCATTCGATACCAAAATCCATTGCCGGCCTGCAAACAAAAGACAGTGGCATCTTCAGACAAAATGCATGATGTCCAAATGACATCACAGGCGGAACACTACAGCACGAAACGTACCAAACAAATCAAACGGAACACATCATTCAACCTTTCTCCATCAAAATGGTGGTTGCCGGTAACATTGATTTTCTTTGTTTATTTTACCCTGTTAGAGATCAAGCTGATACCCACCTTTATGAAGCAGATATAGTGTCCAGCATTGCAGCTGAAACCAGAATGAACAAGAACTGCATATAAAGAATACATGAGTGGGTCTCCCCTTGACTGGGACATATATGCTCGAAGGTCCAAATATTCAGGGTATTCCACATCCTAAACACAAAACAGGAAGATTCAAAAATTACCCCAAAACACTTCATGGAACAGCCTGACAAAAACCCTTCTCAAAACACAGGCTAGGATCACATAAATATGGTCTTGATTCATTTAAAAATACCTATTCTCAGAAACAATATTTCGTAATTGAAGCTGCAGAGAACTGTTTTCTGCAGAATTAACTCTAAGAGTGAGGTATACTCTTATGGTTACCGTAAGCCATAGTTGTTAGATTGACTTTTCTTGGACTATTGTTATTACACTTACAGCCTGCAAACATTAACAGCTTTTAAACCGTAGAATCATAGAATAGTTAGGGTTGGAAAGGACCTTAAGATCATCTAGTTCCAACCCCCCTGCCGTGGGCAGAGACACCTCCCACTAAACCATGCCACCCAAGGCTCTGCCCAACCTGACCTTGAACACCGTCAGGGATGGAGCATTCACAGCTTCCCTGCGCAACCCATTCCAATGCCTCACCAGCCTAACAGTAAAGAATTTCTTCCTTATATCCAATCTAAACTTCCCCCGTTTAAAATGATATTTTCTTGGGGAAATCTCCCATTCCGAGAAGATAAAGCTGCTTTACAGCTGCAAATATACCTTGTTGATCTTGCCACCAGTAAAATCTGCAAATCTTTTCAGCGATACGATGAGAACTTTGGAGGAGCGATGTATCGTGCACCTCTTGGAGGCAGGAGCCATGTTTTCGCACCTTAAAAACAAGCACAGACAAATGTTTAACAGCAAATTCTTCCCCCTCCCAAAACTCAAACAAGTTTTCATCTCTCGCACAGGCTTATGAACCCATATGCTGCACTTCACGTTTGTTAATAGACAGAAGGTAACAGCATGTAAGCGGACAGCTCTACAAAACAAAGGACTTAGAACATTATCCTTTCACACGGAACACTAGGACCTTCAGCCAGCTGATGTTGCCTCCCACCCCAAATCGTTGTCCTTAGCTCTGTGCTTCAGCTCACCACTACTTAGCAGACATCCCCTTTAACTTCTGGCCAGACGAATATTTCTGTGTGCAACCTCACACTGATGAAGGCTAATAAACCCCAGCGCAGGCAGCAGTAGGAATAAAAGTCTAATATGAGCTAATGGCCACAATTCTTCTATTTCCAAATATTCATGTGACACATTAAACGCCTTCTCTTGGACTCAGATGGAATTAGTAGGAATCTTACTTGCTACACTTATAGCTGTTTTCTCCGTCCAGTTGTTCAGGTGTCACAAATTGTTTCAGAGCCGCGGTGAGAGACGTAACGGTCTGGATGAATAAGAAGGTAGAGCACTAGGTCACTGGAAATGCAAAATTTCAGACACTTCCTGGTATAACTACGAGAGAACCTTGCTAGTTCATCCTCAAGTGACCTACTGTCAACCGGCAACCACTGTGAAGGAGGCAGAAACCTCAGAGTACGCTGAGCATTTACCTCCTGTGGAAATGATGCTACTTTGAAATAAAAAGATAAAGTTTGCAGTGCCACAGACACCATCTGTCCTATGCTACGGCATCAATAATGAGAGCAAGCAAACCCATCAGCCTAACGATATAGATGCTGAAGCAGAATAACAGAGAAGTGTGAGGGTATAGGTGTTTGTGTAGATGTAATTACTGTTTTTACAGGTTAAACCCACTGCAAACATGGAGAGCATCTAGATGCATTCCACACAAGACCAAAGCCCAATCCACTCCCACCCAACACCAAGCTCTTTCCTTTTAGCAGTGTATATTTTTAAATAAAATGCCTTTATCTGGAAAGCTCTACAGGTCCTTATGCAGCTCGAGCCGTATTCACAAAACACCTTACCTCTATATCCAAAGTAATACTGAGGAATGGCTCGTGCCTGTCCGAAACGGCTTTGCAGTTCAAGCATTTTACTGGAATCAGAATACAAATGCTTAACACTGACTGGACAAATTTAGAGTCTTCATACATTTTACTTTAGTCAAAGCACAAAGTCCTTTACTACAGACAAACAGACACACACCAGTTCAAAGGACGGGAAGAATTGTAACAAGTACCTCGGGATCTTAGGTATCCTCCAAATATTTGATAAATAAGCGTAGTGGCTTGAGAAGATGTGTCCCATCTGGAAAGAAATGATAAATCAGGCCTCAGATGATACGAGGCTCAGAGTTAACTCTTCAAACAGTTTTTACCAAGGACAGTCATTTTAATGTAGTATAGTAAAGAAAGGAGTAAAAGGGGCTAGAGAACATCTAAGGGTTAAATAATTCGTTTATGCGTACGTGGTGCCTCCATTCAAGCAAGCTTTCTGCAAAGCATCAACAGTGAAGGACAAGAATTCATGTGCATCCTCTTGACTGCCGTAACAGAAATGTTCTCCTATACCTAATAAATAAGAAGGTGGTTATATTTATCTCCTAGAAAATGAAAGAAAACTCACGTTTCTAAAAGTATCAAAATCATTTCTATGCATCAGAGAGTGCTTTGAAGTTACCCAATATATCAAAAGAAAACCATCTGAAATGACTTACTTTTAAGGCCATTGATAACAGATATAGGTTTGATAGCACTATTAGAGAAACACAGGGCCTGGTTAATGTGAGCTTCCAATGTACACATCATACAGAAGCCTTTTTCGTGACCTGAAGAGTGAAAGAAGCAACACAGTCTAGTCAAATAAGCATTGCTACCAAAAAAAGAACAAAACCAAAAAACAATAGCCACGAAAAACACTACTGATATTGATGACACAGCGCTAAGAGAGAATGCGTGCGAATTTCAGCATATTGCTGTTAGGTGAGCTACATGACACAGAGCTAAGAATCCTCTGGGAGAAAGGAAAGGTTAAAGGAAGGTATGTGTAAGTATTTCTGCCCTCCTTTTTGCAACAGGGTTCTTAACTGGAAGCATTTTTATCTATGTCAAAAAAAAACACAGTTAAATTTCTAGGAATAAACACTAAGATGCCAAACCAAAAAGCATGCATGTACCTTTGTCAAAATAGACCTAGAAGGATATGAAAAGAGGCTCCTATGCCAAATCAGTTCAAGCATAGAATGGAAATGTGAAGAACACAAATTCAAAGGCTTAAAAAAATACAAACTTTTAACTAGAATAAAACCAGTCTAAATTTTAATACTGCCCCACACAAATTTCCATTTCAGGTCAGCAGAAATTAGCTCGTAGTGCTTTCTAGGGTGTGGGCTTTTTTAATGGGTCAATAGTGAACATGTCATTTATTGCAGTACTAGCACATGACGCTATCTAGGCTGCAGAGACGAAGACGCTACGATGCCAACATCCTACATTTTACCACCTTTCTACCAGCAGGAAACACAAATGCCAAATGTTCATCAAATGCCTTCCTTTACAACGTACTTCGCTATTCACACAAAGCAAGAAATGCTCTTTATTTGCAACTTTGCCATTGGGCATTAAATGAACAAATGCACTTTATATGCCATTCCGAGCTTCCTGTTAAATAAGCACGGAATCACAGAATCATTTATGTTGAAAAAGACCACGAAGATGGCATTCAAAGCCAGCTTCGACAGGTAAAACGGGAAAGCCACGCATTTTCTCCACAGAATCACTCTTGTTCTTTCACCTTTGCAGCCGCCCAACGTATTTATAATCATGTTAGAAAGTACTCACATGACTTGCTGTGTTCAAGAGACAGCATGTAATTGGCCAGAGGAGGTGTGTACGTCAAACACTGTAAAGTAGCATTAAGGTAACACGTATTGCCCAGATTCCACAGTCCAACTCCAACGTTCAGTGGCTGTTGCCAATCCATGCAGATTTTCTCAGGTGGAAAAAGAATTTTACGTGGTGGGGCAATTCCATCGTTAACGACTGCAAGAAAATCAGATTTCAAAAAATATTTAATGTTTCTCTTTGAAAAAGCATGTTTAAAAGGGAGCATTCTGCAGGAGGACCCAGAAGAACCAGGTCTGCTCCACAACGCAAAACAACATGATGAACAGATTGTAAGAACTAGGATGGAAAAGTAAGGGAGTAACCAGCGGAGCAGGTAACCCTACGGATACCAGACCTCTTCCTGAGCAGGGTTAGCATTCAAAGGCTTGTGAATAATGGAAGCCATAAACACAAAGGTAAAATGTACTTTTCTCTGCACAGCACAGAAGACCTGGCTAAGTCTGTGTATTATAAAAACCTCCTCAAACCCATTGTTGCAAGTAGGTTTTTAAAGATAAAACTACAGGTCTTCCAATACCAGTCCCTTCAGTTGCCTTAGGGGACTCACAAAATTGCAGCCTAGTGCTGAAGGCTTTAGTCATCATCTTGTATCAGTGCAACAAATGAGAACTGTGTTTTCTAACTTTTGGGTATTTTGTTCTGAAGAAAGGAGGGGAAGGACAGAAGACACACTAACTTTGCTCTTCCTGGCCAAAAGGCTTAGGTTTTTCAGAGGCTCTAGAATACACAGAACCTGTCGGTACTTTCTCTGCATCTTCCTCAGGTTGTGACAGGTTTTTAAATATTGAAGATATTCTCTTTAAAGTCATTGTTCGTATCTGTAACAGAGGTAAAAGTTCTGGTTGACTTAAGACTATCAAGAAGCATTCCAGAAGGAAATTCTGTCACTCAGTATCAAAGAGATAACTTGAAGAACTAAATAGCTGGTAAGAAATATGAAAAAAACAAAAACAAACGACAACAACCAAACTAAAAACCCCACTCACAAAACTGCGGTTAAGTGCGATTACACATTTGTCTCATGACAAAACAAACATTGGCAGCGGTGACTGTAAAACAATAACATACACAAAAACACCTACGTAGAAATAAGGAGCAATACAAAACTACTACTACTGTAGTAGACATGAAGACATGAAAGCACTTCTATGTCTCTAAATTGCAAACGACACTTCCACAATGCAACACTACCGTAAGAAAAAGATACCCAAACTAAACCAACAACAAAAAAGCAAAACCACCCCCCCCCCCAAAAAAAAACACAAAACCAAAACCCAAACGTATACACACACACAAATTCGAAATAAGGAACAACCCGAACACACACACAAACACACACACACAAACCCATACACACACGCCACGCTTGTTTACTTTCATCAAAAATAATCCAGCTGCCAACCCAGGAAACCCGCAGTTAATTATCACTTTAACCTTACCTGGAAGCAAAGGGGTCCGAGTTTGTCAGCTCCGGGGTCGGGGACGGCGTCGGGGTCTGTGTCCGTCCCGGGACCGTGGTCTCCGTCCGCCCAGGGGCTTCTCTGCTCTCCCAAGGCGCGGCTGCCCAGTGTTTCACCGGGGTCTGAGGGTCTGCTTCTCCCGGGTCGCAAGAGAAGCTCTCGAAGCCGGTTAACGTCATAGTAGCAGTTCCAGATGGAACTGTCCGGCCTTCCGTCACCAGCGCTAAGCCTGAAGCACCTACCCGCTCACCCCCCGCTCTGCCTTTCCGACAGGTTTTGGTTCCTAAGAGCAGTTTGGCACCGCTGCTCTCACGGACCGGCGCGGCACGCAGCATGTCCGCGCTTGGGAGCGGCAAGAGCCCAAACACAGCCAAACCAAAGAGACCCTGACGCGGAAGGCGAGGGCAGAGCGCGGCTCCGAGGGATCCCTCGCTTCACCTCACCTCGCCTCGCCCTACCCGCTCCACCTCACGCTACGACCCAGCCCCGCTCGGCACTTCCCACCCGCGGCAACCACTGTGCGGGGACAGCCTCAGCGCCGCCCCGCCCCGCCTCGGTGCCCTCAACCCCTCCCCAGGTGTCGCTTTCCGGGCTCGCAGCTCCAGGACCGTCCGGAAGCAGGAGCGCAGCAGCGGGCGGCCTGGGGCGACTCTGTGCTCATGGCAACTAACGGACGGGACGTGAGGACGGCGAGAATCCAAGCGTTCGATTCCCCGCGGGAGGCCGCAGGCCCCGCGAGGAGCCGCCGCCTCCTCGCCAAGCAAGGAACAACGCCGCTCGTGCCGCGGGAGCTGGGGTTTTACCGCGATGCTTTTCTACTCCCAGTGCACGTGCTGTTCTTAAGGGAAAGCCCCTAGTTCCATGCTGGACGCACAGGGTGGCTTTTTTGGACTGCTTCCGGTAGCAGGCAGTTTTTCACAGACTTGTTGAACCTGAGCCGTGCCTGCTGTGCCAGTGACCGCTTTGGGGACCCACTGCTTTATCAAAGCAATTTTGCTTGGTGGAGTTGCAGAGCAGCTCGGCATACAGCACAGGGAAACGTGCCGTCCTGGCAAAGCCACAGACTTACCAAGGCGATGTGTTTGAAATCCCCTTTTGACTGTCAAGGCGAGGCTGGTTGGTTGTTCCAGTCTTGCTGATGTGCTCTGTTTTGCATGGGGTGTCATCCTGCCAGCGTTCTGCTTTATTGCATGTTTGCCATAAAGGCTGAGAGGAAAAGAACAAAGTAAACGTTTCTACACCTCAGATTTTCCCCAGAGCGTGTGGAATTGTGGTCTGCTTGGATGCCTGTTCAGATACAAGTACTTTCAAGGGAGTGAAACTCAACCAGCGGAGGTACAATCCTTGAACAAGTGTCGGCGTGGAGATACCTTTGCTTAATGGAACACATTTAAACTCTTTCTAGAAATGATTTGGAGTCGTATGTCCTGCGTTTGCAAAGCAGCGTGATCTCAGAGCTGCTCACTTCACCTGTTTCGAGTCTTCTGTTCCGCAACTTCAGGTTTTGTATTTGAGCAATGCGTACATCAGTTTGAGCTCTGTACAAGTAGAGCTGTAATGCAAATAAGCCAGAATCAGTGGTACCAAGAAGTGCAAGGGTGTGAAAAGCAGCCAATAAAGTATTTCTGGAGAAATGTGAGGTTACAAAAGCATTCATAAGCCATGAAGCACTTTTGTATCAGTTCTTCCCTTCTGAAAATCTGTTTATTTAACCGGGTGAGGATGCCTGCCCAGAAGCATGAAGGAAATGCCTTGGGAGTTAATTTGCTGTATTTAGATGAAGTTCTTCTATCCGGCAGGAATAACTATTGAGAGTAACGTATAACTAAGGCTATTGTAGCAGGAAATATAGTATTTCTCAGCATTAAAAAAATGCGACATCTTAATCAGCTATTTGTGGTGCTCAGTCAATCTCTTTTAATTTACCAAAGCTAACAGAATAATGTTCTTGTGTGCGATGATATTTCATTCCAAATGTGCTTTGTAAGAGGTATAAGAGGGAGTGAAACTGGCCCAAACTTTCCACTGTCCACAAGGCCAGTAAAACAAAGTGGCTTGTGAAAATATCAGGCAAGTAGGTAAACTCGGAGTTATTCCAGTTAAGGAAGATCTTAACTGGAATCCAGTTCGGTACATGAAGTAGAGAGGGACTGTTCAGCTACCTGAGGAGGTAGCTATTATGTATTGTCGAGGGCATCAACAAGGTGAAGTTTGTCCGATTCTGAAGCCAAATGAGAAATTGAACAATCTAAACTCATTCCCTTAATCCCTGACGGCAAACTAACAATTGAGAAATCTAAACCTAGATATTCAAAGGAGGACAGAAAATCGGAGATCCTAAAGGAGAGGAAAACAAAGAAGATTGGGTTCAGATACCTGATGGGTGAACTGTAATCCCCTATAAGCAACTCTGGAAGCTAGTTCAGGAGAAAGATAACAATTCATTGGGGTAGCAACTCTTCGTATAAATACTTAGATGACCAAATTGCAGGAAGGAATCTATATAACACAGTTCAATTAGTGACAATGTCAGCTCTGTCTCAAGAATAATCCTAAAATTGAAAATAGAAATCAAATTGGTACAACTCGGGAGGAATTTATCTGGGACAACACTGGCAAATAAATTTTTCTGAATTACCGAGACCAATATTTGTTGGTGTTAATGAATACTTTTTCAGGGTGGCCAGAAGCATTCCCTTGTAGAATAAATAATGCAAGACAAGTAATTGGAACATTGTTAAACACTATAATACCTTGTTTCGGAGTACCAGAGGCAATTTCTTCCGACCGAGGCTCACCCTTTAGTGCAAAAGAGTTACAAGAAATTAGCAAAAATCAGGCAACTACATGTTCCTTACAGGCCTCAGGCCAGTGGGCAAGTAGAAAAGATGATCAAACAACAGATTAGTAAAATATTAATACCAAGCCTTACCACTGGCTCTATTAAGAATTTGAACTAAACCTCGGTCGAAAGAAGAGGCTATCCCATGTAAAATTTTATATGGAAGACCGTATCAGTCCCAGTTTAAAGGAGAAAACCTTCTCCGACTTCCAGAAGACTTTCTCCTAAAATTTCTGGTCAATCTGGGAAAGCAATTAGAAGAAGTAAGAGAATACTGAGGACAAGAGTGAGAGGCATGGATTATTCGCCTCACCCTTTTAGATCCAGAGACTGGGTTTATGTTAAGAATTTTTCAGGAGATCCTCTACAGGAGAAGTGGAGCGGACCGTACCAGATAATATTGACCACCTTTACAGCAGGGAAGATAAAGAAACAACCTGCTTGCAAGAATATAGAACCATAGAAGACGTGGCGGATCAAACCTTCAGGACCCTCGCATATGAAATTATATCAGTCGTGATTTGGATTTATGTGATAACTGACATACCGGCTTGGGACTAATACTTATACCTGAAATTAATGCAGAATGCTACTAAAGTTGTTAATTGTAGTGACTGTTTGGTGTGTGCACAGTTGCCTGAATCGGGAGAAGACCAGGGCCTTCCATTAATTGGCATTCCAATTTCCAACACTGCAATTTTAAGATTTGGAATAGTTAACCAGAATAGGAGACTATGTTTGTTTAAATGCCACAGGTGTAGGTCACTCTTCAAATTGTATAGATGGTATCGTGGTTCAGTGGTAGCTTGGTTCCTGAAGGGAAAGGATGGTATTGGTTAAGAGAGGGTTTAACCCTATTGCTGAACAGAATACTGCATTTTGTGAGATGTTTTGTGAGGCAATCATAAATATCTCAGCAACCGTAGAGGAAATATGGAAAAAGTTAACTTCATGGTTACCTGATCTCTTCTGGTTAAGGCAACTGGTTGCAGGAATATTACTATTAATTGTTTTAATATTGATTACTTGTGGTATAACAAAATGTTCTTCCTGAAATTGTAAACGATCTATGATAAATGATGAAGATTGAAAAAAGAAATGAAATTTAAGTATCAAGTAGAAACGGGAAACTATTTCAAAAACACTATGGATGGTAATGGCACTACATAAAATGTTGCAAGAGAATTTGCAGAAGGACAGAAAAAGGGGGTATAGACATCTGTTGGTGCTATCAGACACCTTTTCAGGTTGGCCGGGAACCTTTCCAACTAGAAACGCACAAGCCTGGGAGGTAACAAAGATGTTGTTACAGGATGGTTGTGGGGATTTCGAAAGTATGTGCTGCATGAACTTATCTAACCATTCTGAATCAATTCATGCTAAGCTGCGAAAATTGCAGGAAAATGTGCAAGAGCTTAGAATTGTTGGAGGTAGAATGGATGAATGGCTAAATAACCTAGGAGTTACTGGATGGTTCAGGGAAATACTTAAACAAGGCCTTCTAATC